CCCCCGGGAGGATCTAGAAAGTAGATCCCCTAATTTGGCGCCCTATACTACTAAGAATACTTTATAGGAGCCCCCATTAAGAGATCTACTTTTTGGATCCTCCCGGGGTCTGGGACAGATTTTTCAGGTGTTTAGAGTCTAAGTAGAATAAATACCTATATTGCTGTGGGGGTTCCTTAACATAATTTTAGTATAATGGGCCCAAAACCCTACTCTAATGATTAAGGCTCCTAGGGCTCCGAAGACTGGGATCTCGGGACTAGAATGGTTTAAAGTATAGGATACGGTTGATGATACAAATCCTGCATTACCCATAACAAGGAATATGCCATAATTCCCATAGCTTAGGGTCCTTAAGGTAATGCAGGATTTATATCATCAACCGTAGTATAGGCTTGGGCTTGGGGACCCGTCAAGAAACCCGTGGTAGGAGCCATTTCGGGACCCTTATAGCACTCCGGAAAAGGAAGCTTAAAGCCTAAACCCTAAACCCAAAACCCAAGCCCCTCAACCCAAAACCCTAGCCCCTCAACCCTAAAGCCTAAACCCAAACCAGCCTTCCAGGAAGCCTTAAAAACCCGGGGAGCTCGGGATGCAAAGTCGTCCATGCTCTCGAATGTCGCTGGCAGATCCATGGCCTTCTTCTTGGAGTTTTCCAGAGCTGGTCCTCGCACATGTCTATGTATGTATGTATGTATGGATGTGTGCATGTATGTATGGGTGTATGTATGAATGTATGTAGGAATGTAGGTAGGTAGGTAGGTAAGTCGGTAGGTCGGTATGTACGTAGGCATGTATGTATGCATGCATGTAAACACATATGAAACGGGCAGACATTTTTGGTAGATGTGTGGTATGTATATACACATGTGTTCAAACGTACAGGTTGGAGGCTACGGTGTTTACATTACGGGTTTGTAGGGTTGATGCAATATCGGTGTACATGACAGGTTTTGAGGGCTTTCTAGGAATTCGTGATAACTTGAAGACCTTTCGGAACCCTTACTACAGGATTGGTGTAGAGTTTCCACGATCCTTCAAGTATTGTGTTCTTGCGACGGACATGAATTTCAACGAGGAAGACACATACTCTTGATTATATATGCCGTTTCGAGTAACTTAAGCCCTCAGATCAAGGTTGTAGAAGCCGCATGACACCATACAACAGGCCTGCGCGGTCCTATAAGTCCCTTCTACAACTTGTCAGAGATTCTGTAAAATTCGTTTACCAGCCTATGACCCTTAACGCGTCCGGTGACATGAGCTTTCGCAATTCACCAGCCACGTCCCAAGGACGTTATGGCTCTTGCTTACATGGATGGTCGCGCGAAAAGCATGTCTTTGTAAAGCCTTGAAACCTTTATACGCTGTTCGTCCTTATGAAAACCTTGCAAATGCCGAACACCTGTAGAAACCTTACAGTACTTGAAATTATGAAATCTTGAAACCCTGAGCCCGAAACTCTAAGACAAAGAGCACGAAAGCATCCATGTCTTCTGCTCCCGATCTTCCAGCCCTGACATAGAAGCCTGCGTTTACGGTTTAAGGTTGAGGGTTTAGGGGGTTAGGGTTTAGGATCAGTACGCAGTAAGGGTTCTATAGGTGCTCTGTAAGAGTGGAGAGATCTGTAAGGTATAAGGGTTCTAGAAGTGTTTTCGGACATAGGGTTGACTAGAAGCTCAAATACTTGAATAACTCGCAAAAAGCCCCAGGGTTCCTCGCTGCACCTTTACTGTTGCATGCCCCCAAACCGTATGTTTAATTTGCCTACATTGGGGCTTATGCCACGAAGTCGAAGCTCAAGCTGGGCACATTTCGAGTTCAGGCTTTGGGGCTTTGAGGGTTGCAGAGTTGTGGGTTTAGGGGTTTAGGGTTTAGGGTTCATGGTTTAGGGAGGGGTTGTTGTTATCGTTTTCGCCTCAAAGACGCATCCTTCCAATTTGGGCTCCCGCTTTGCATTCGGACGCCTCAGGAGCGCTGTTGTCGGCACCCACTCCTCTAAGCCCTAAACCTTCATAGGAGGCCACAAGGGGTTTTAGCCTATGGGGGTTTAGTAGGGATTAGGGTTCCCATAATATGGTTCATTTTAAGGAATGCCTACCCCAAGAATCTTAAACCCCCCTTTTGGCCTCCCATCAAACCTGAAACCCGCAAGCCTTTTCGGCCCTCGGCCCCAAAACCCAAAACAGGTTTGAGACAAACGAGTCCCAAACACCCTAACCCCTAACCCTAAACCCCTGAACCATAAACCCTAAACCCCTAAACCCAAAACCCCTAAACCCTAAACCCTAAACCCTAAACCCTAAACCCCTAAACCCTAAACCCTAACTTCGAAGGCAGTTGTATGGAGACCTGAGACGTAGGATTTTGGGGCACAGTACATGGCCCTTTTTGTTCGTATGGACTTTTGGTTCAGACTGCTCCTGATTTTCCTGGCTAAACCTAAAGCCTAAACCTGTAAACCCCTAAGCCCTAAACCCCTAAACCTTAAACCCTAAACCATTGCACTTAAAGAAAAAAACCTGAACCCTAAACCCCTAAACCTCTAAACCCCTAAACATCTAAACCCTAAGCCCTAACCCCTGAACCCTATACCCTAAACCCCTAAACCCTAAAACCCTAAACCCGGTGTGGGCCATGCAGTCCTTCTACCCGCGCTCGGCCGACAGAGGCCTGCACGGTTGAGGGTGGCGCGAAGAGTCCCTAAAGCCCAAAATCCCAGAAGCCCCAGAGCCCTTAGGGTTTGGGGTTTAGGGTTTAGGGTTTAGGGCCCTAAAGCCCAAAAGCCAAAAAGCCTTAAACCCCAGATCCCAACAGCCCCAAACCCCTAAAGCCCTAAACCAAAAGGCCTTGAACACAAAACCCCTAAACTCCCAGCCAGAAAGCATTGAACCCCGAAGGTGCAAAGCCGACTTTGAAGCCCGAGGATGTCTGGCGAGCGGCACGACCGGCCCGTTGTTTCAGGGTTTGGCTTCGGGGCTTTCGGCTGTGGGCCTACCACGGCAAGTTAGGGTGTAGTTAGAGTTCAATCGTCCGGGCTTAGAAGAAACCTTAGCCCTTTATTCGGGTTCCTTATAAAAATGAATCCTACTATTTTGGTATTCTAGGCCCAGGGTTCTTAATCAGGTTCCTATACTACGGCTTTTCTTTAAATAAATCTGGTGGAGAGTTTTCTATCGGGACTTTGGTGAGACGAGAGGGCGCGGATCAGGAGTGAGGATTGCTGGACGCCTGCATGAAGGAGTTTCCGAAAATCGGGGGCCCACATCTAGTACCCTAAATAGTAGTATCCTTACTATAAGGACTTCAGAATCAGGTACCCTACTTTTCGGAAACTCCCATCAAGGTTTGTAGGCAAATATAGGGTATGATTTGCTAGTACTGAGGGTTTGGGGATGTTTAGGGTTTCGGTTTCCCTAGCACGCGTTGCAGTTTCATGTGGGGTTTTGGAGTATAGGGTTTCGTGTTTAGGGCCTTTGCTTTCTCAGCGGTTTTTCGCGACTTACGGGATTTTGTGCAGCTTGATGGGGTTAATGTTGTTGGTTTTTTTCCTCGCAGGTTTTTTTGAATGTGAATCTGATACCTAAAGCCATCCTAAGCCCTAAGCACTGGGCTCTGAGCCCTGAACCGTGAAGAACCCTGAGCCCGGTTTCGGGGATTCGGGACTTAGATAAACTTTGCAGCACGAGATCCTAAATGGGTAGTTCTCTAAATTCGGGTCCCTTTTTTGGTTCCCGATGTAGTACGGCACCCTTATAGAAAGGACCCTAAAAGGGACCCTAACTTAGAGAACTACCTACGTATATCCTCAAGGCAGAAGCCACAAACCCGACTCACTGAAGGCCGTACACAACCAAAGCGAAATCCGAAAGCCTTTGCGGATCCCGCAAAAGACCTGCTGCAACCCAGGAAGACCTTTTTCTAAGCCCTTCTTGGAGGATCATGGGACTTAGTGAGTATGGTTATAAGTTGTAAGGACCTGAAGTGGGGTTACAAGTATTTATATGTACATGTACTTTGACTATAACCCTAGGTACTAAGTCCCATGATCCTCCAAGTTATAAACCCCTGTTGCACCCCAAATCCCGAGCCGTGAGACTGCGACCCTCGCTGGGCCCTCTTTAGGGATAAGGGGCTCACTGAAAGGATCAGGGGTGTAACCCCACGTAAGCATACTGACTAAGTCCCATGATCCTCTAAGTGGGGTTCAGACCCTGGGAAGCATCATGCTCAGTTCAAAACCCGCTCCTCCTTCTGCACTGTCCGTGCCTCCTCCGCCAGGTTTGCCTCATCCCAGAGGGGTGGCACCTGCTGAAATTGGGTTGTGGCGGTTTAGGGTTTAGGGGTTTTGGGTTTAGGGTTTAGGGTTTGCGGGCTAGCAGAGGTAGGAGGTAGGAGACGTAGTTGAGGTTTTGGTGAGGGTTTGCAGAGCTGGTTAGGAGCATTGACGAGTGTAGGTGTGGGGTGTCTTGTTGGGGGTTCTCGTGATCAGAACCTGACTTCATGTCATCCCGAGCTCTAATATAGGGGCCTTCATAATTACCAAGACTAATTTGGGGTGTTCCTTATTTTAGTTATAGTATAATGGGCCTCAAAACCCTGTTCGAATTATTAAGGCCCCCTATAGTAGTGTTTTCTTCTGGCTTCTGACGGTATATGCTCGTTGAATAGTCATCATAGCATCATGCAGAAACAGCGACGGTTTCTAAGTAGCAGCAGCAGCAGCAGCAGCAGCCGGAATTGCTGTCGCAGTAGCAGTAGCTGTAGCAGTAGCAGTAGCAGGATTAGGGTTGGTGTTCGTGTTGTTGTGGTCCCTCGAGTCTGAGCGGCGAGGAAAACGTTGATCGTCTTCGGCTTTGAGGCTCAGGTGCTGAACGTTGCGTTGAATTTGAAAGGCGCATAAACCCTGAACCCCAAGTTGCGAAACGTCAAGCCGCAACACCCAAACCCCTTAAGCCCTAAAGCTTGACAGGCTTAGCACGAACCTCGAGCAATGGAGGATGGACCCTGCGCAGATGTGCCAACCTGAACCCGAACGTAAGTCGTCCCTGGTGCTCCTCCGCGAGCCTCGGAAACGCCTGGGCGGGACAAGCTCCAGACGTGCTCCCAGCAGACCGCAGCGACCTCTACGAGGATCGAGCCCCAATGAGGATGCGCCTCCGAACAGATCCGACCGCCGCACCACAGAGAGCAATCGGAGCGCTCCGGTCGCCACAGCTCCGAGCCGCTGCGGAGGGACGGAGGCAGCGCCGGTTGCGCCGCTGCGCAGGGCTGTGCCTGTGCCGACCAGAGAGCCCGTAGCTTTGCCTGTGCCGACGGCTCGAAGTCGCGAGGAGAGCGAGAGTGCGCAAGGAACGAAATCTGCCCAAAGCATTCCTACAGGCTCCACCTCTCTGGTGGAACTCATCGACCGTGGCACCTATGGCATGGGGCCTGCTGGGCGTCGGGCGCCTTCCCGTGCCCCCTCCGCTTCCGCACGCCGCGCCGAGTCCCTGCCACCCCAAGCTCAGGCTCGAGTTTCTGGGTTCTTGTTTAGGATTTTAATCTCAGTTACCATCATAAAGAAATCATAGCACATACATGCACATACTATAGCTCCTTGATACCCTAATTTTAAACTAAATTCCAAAATGAAACTCAGGTTTGGGCAGCTCCCTCCGAGGAGCCACGGAGAGGGATGTGGGACCAGGGCACCCGAGCAAGCTTGGAGCAGGCCGCCCGAGCCAGCCTCACCAGCCGCCAGAGTCACTTCTTGGCACTTTGGGAAACTTTGCAATTTCCCTTAAGTTATGGTCCTATAAATGTACTTGTTCATAAGAGTCTACGACCTATTCATAAAGCACTTTGGGAGACTTTGAAATTTCCCTGCATGGTCCTACAGAGGTACTTATTCATAAAGCTACAACCCAGGTCAACTGCGTGCCAGGAGTGCCTGGCCCGAGGGAACCGAGCGAAGGACCGAGGATTCGGATCCCTGGGCTGCGTACTTCAACCCAGAGCTCCGGACCAGCAAGGAGGAGGCCAAAAAGGGTTTTAGGGTTCCTCTAAAGGGGTCTATAGGGGTTCCTTTAAAGGGATCTATACGGGTATCATAGGAGGCCAAAAGAGGTTTTAGCTTATGGTGGTTTCGTAGGGATTAGGGTTCCCATAATAGGGTTCAAAATAAGGAATACCCACCCCAAGAATCTTAAACTCCCCTTTTGGGCTCCCATCAGGCCATGCCGGTGTGGGGCAAGCTGCCGCTAAGGCTTAAGCGCGAGCGAAGTCAGAGACCAGTGAAGGAGGGCACGGCGGAGCTCACCACGGGGCATATCCCCGTCCTAAGGGATGAGTCCATCAACTGCCTGCTCGGGGGCCCCGATGGAACAGAGGGCTTCTATGCCGATGGCACCTTCGGCCGTGGTGGCCACTCCACGGAGATTCTAGGTTCCCCAGTTATACCCTTTTGCCCTTTCCCTTTTCGGGTTCCCTCATTAAAACCCGACAGTAGGAAGAAGGGCTATAATCTACTATAACATACGATAATATACTATAATATATTATAACATACTATAATATATTGAGTACATATATATAATATACTATATAATATACTATATAAGATACTATAATACAAGGGTACCCTTAAAGGGAAGCCTAGGATTCTACGTCGCTTGTCCGACTCGGGGCGACTCTGGGCCTTCGACGTGGACCCCAATGCGATCGCTGTGGGCCGGAAGCTCCTGGGCTTTGGAGTTACTTAAAGGGAACCAATTATGAAAAAAAGTCTAAAAAATTTTTTAAATTTTTTACCCTGTCAGAACCAATTATGAAAAAAAGTCTATACTTTTGTCTCCCTAGTTACTTCAAAGCCCAGGCTCGAAGAGCTGGACCAGCGCTTTTCGATGCTTAGTAGCGGTTTAGGGTTTAGGGGTTTAGGGGTTTAGGGTTTATGGGGTGTATAGGGCTTATGATGCTTAGTAGCGGTTTGGGGTTTAGGGTTCAGCAGCTGAGTGGATACCTTATGTACTTAGGGGTTTAGGGTTTAGGGTTTAGGGCTTTATAGGGTTTAAAGAGGGTGTATAGGGCTTAGCTTATAGGGTTCAGGGTGATGCTTAGCAGGGGAACCTTAGTTTTCCTTTCAAGGGATCTATGAGGGTTCCCTGTAAAGGGATCTATAAGGGTTCCTTGACAGGGATCTATAAGGGAATCTTAGTAGCTGAGTGGATACACTTTACACTTTTTGGGATAATGTCACCACTATAAAACCAAAAGTGTATACTTTTTGTAACTCAGCTTCTAAGGATGATTCATCGGCCCTTTGCGGATGTCCATAAAAGCATTCCTGATGGGCTGGAGTTGTCGGGAATGCTTCTGGACATAGGCTTCTCTTCGCCTCAGGTTGACGATGGGGGCCGTGGCTGGAGCTGCTACCAAGATGGCCCGCTAGACCTTCGCATGAATTTCAAGGCCGGGATACCTGCCTGGAAGTGGTTGCAGACGGCAACCCCTGGAGAGTTGGCATGGGTGGTCTACGAGAACGGCGAGGATGACGATCCGATCCTTTGCCACCGGATTGCTGAGGCGGCACTCGAGCGGCAGCGGCGTTGTGGGCCCTACACCTCCACCCTGGAGCTCTCTACCTGCATACAAGAAGTCAAGCATGGCTTAGACGACCGTCGCCAGCATCCTGCGAAGCTGGCATTTCAGGGCATCCGCAACTTCATCAATCAGGAGATGCAGCAGCTGGCGGATGCTATGAGTGCCCAGTTCCAGCGACTGAAGTACGGCGGCCGGGCCGTTGTGATCACCTTCAAGCCACGAGAGGAGCAGGTCTTAGAGAACTGGCTCAGGCAAAACGAGGACGGCTGGGCCAGCCCGCTGGCATCGCAGGTGCCGGTTTGTACTATCTTTCTTGTAGATATGTTGTAGATGCTAGCAGCCCACCGATTGCTACAGCACCGATTTACTATTTTCTTTCTGGTGGAGTTGGCAACGGTGAGTCTCTTTCCTATTGACCTATTGTCAGCTTTAGGTACAGTCTTCTGCACATTGCAAGCTTCCGTTTACTTCATTGCTGCACCTGTTCCCGGGTATCATCAAATCTGAACGCTTCCTACTTGGAGGGTCATGGGACTTAGTAAGTAGGGTTATGAGTCCCTTAAGTGGGGTTATAAGTAGCTATAAGTATAGTATAGTTACCTTAATTATAAGTCCCATGATCCTCTGAGTATACTCTAACCCCTATTTCTAATCGCTCCGTTTATAGTGAACCCCAGAAAGTTGGAACATTGAATTAGGATGATTCATGCTGGGATTCCCTATACTTTACTTTAAGGGCATGAGGCTAATGATGTTCCAACTTTTTGGCTTCTGCTGTAGGTGTCACCTGACCGCCTGGGTGAGCTCTTTCCCTTGCTCTCCAGCGTGCAGCCCTACGCGGCCCGACGGCTCATGGCGCCGATTCGGCCCTCTGCCGAGGAAGTACGGCGCAACTCCAGGTGGAAGTTTCCAAAAATCCATTCTTTTTGAGTTCAGGGTTTAGGGTTTAGCGAATTCAGGGCCTCAGGTGTCAGGATTAAACCTTAAGCCCAAAGCCCTAAACTCTAAACCCTCAACCGCCAATCTGCCAACCATTGTCTAGGTCTCGATCTGCAATGGTCCACACCTTCATCAAGGAGCCTCGGCGCCCTCCCTTCCAGAAAGTGGGCCCTTGTTCCCAAGCGGCTCTTGAGCATGCTCTGCTTGGAGGATCATGGGACTTAGTAACTAAGGTTATAAGTACTCTTATTGGGGTTGTATGTAATTATAAGTGTAGTTACCTTAGTTATAACCCTGGTCACTGAGTCCCATGATCCTCTAAGTGGCTTTAAAAGTTTCGGGGCTTCACGGCTAAAGGTTTCGGATTTGGAGCAAGGGGTTGGGTTTAGGGGTTGCTGTTAAGGTGATGTCAGTAATTAAGCTGTGCTTTCAGCACGAACCAAAGTACGCTTTCGCATGGACATGTTTTGAAGTGGAGGAAGACAAAACATGTTGATGTTACTTCTGCAGCATGTGACATTCTTCACGCACCGAAACTGCCCAACACATCTAAAACAATATAAACACCGAAGAGCCGAAACTAGAACAAATTGGCCAAGGCTGTTGCTCTATAAACCGTATGAATCTCTTGCGACAATTCTTGAACAATCCGGAGAAAGCACACGCAAATCCTACAGAAACCGGACAATCCTCGCAAAAACCTCGGAAATCCTTGTAGAACCCCGATGTTAAACCGTAAGCGCTAAACCGTAAACCGTAAACCCTATAATGCCCTAAACGCAAAATCCAAAACCCTATAGAACCTAAACCCTGAACCCTATAAAGCCCTCAGCCCTATGGAACCTAAACCCTGAACCCCATAAAGCCCTAAACCCTGTAGAACCTAAACCCTAAAACCCATAAAGCCCTAAACCCTATGGAACCCAAACCCTAAACCCTATATAAAACCTAAACCCTAAACACCAAAACCCTAAACTCTATAAAGACTTATAGTAGAAGCCAGAAAGTTGGAACATGGCTTTAGGAGGATTAGTGCTAGGATCCCTTCTACCTTACCTTAAGGGCATGAGGAGAATGATGTTCCAACTTTCTGGTTTCTACTATAAACCCTAAAGAACACGACCCGGAGCCCAGGTTTGCGGAGCTCAGGAAGCTCCAATGGCAAGCCTGGAGACTGGCTCTGTGCCGTTTCTCAAACTTTTTTCTTCACAGGGTTTAGGGTTTAGGGTTTAGAGTTTAGGGTTTAGGGTTTAGAGTTTAGGTTTTAGGGTTTAGAGTTAGTTAAGGGTTTAGGGTTTAGAGTTTAGGGTTTTGGGTTTAGGGTTTAGGGTTTTGGGTTCAGCTTAGGGTTTGTTCACACATACACTGCTATTCTGCAAGGTTTAGGGTTTGGCGTTGCTGTTCTTCAGGGTTTAGAGTTATGATAGTTATGTTCCGTTTTGATATTTTTTTCATGTTGTTTCTTGTTTCCTGATACAGTGTAACCAACCCCAAAAGTATACACTGAGATGCTCGTGCCCAGTGGGTGTTTGAACCGCACAGCAAGTCTTCCACGAGTGGGCCTCTTAAGGGTTCCCGGGGGTAACGATTCCAACCCTGACATAGGCCTTGCACAGGTAGTAATATGATTCCAGCATAGTTCCTGGAAGGTTTTGGATGACACACCTTTGGACCCTATTCTGTTCTTACCCTAAGCCCTAAACCCTAAGCAGCCCTAAGAAGACGTACCCGCGGACCTCCTTGAGGTACCCACTGCCGAGGAGTCAATGCAGCGCACAGTGAGACTTGCCAGAAGTGTCGACGAGCCTGGGATTTTTATGAGCACGTTTCTTCGTTTCTCATCAGACATGACCTGGGCCATAGTTCCTGAAAGCCGAGAAGCTTGAACCCGATGCCTGTTACACAAATCATACTTATAAGTACCCCAGCAAGAAGCACTAAGAAGATCGGAGCTCTCGTTGTTGTCATGTTCTGTTTGTCCTCTGCTTCAATGTGCACTGCAACACCTAAACCCTAAACCCTAACCCTAAACCCTAAACCCATGCGCCCCAGGACCAAGACCTACTTGGCAAGCTCCCGTGGCTCGAAAAGCCTCGCGGCGGTCCCACCACAAGCCTTGTGTCCGAACACTAAACCTCAAGCCCTAAACCTTAGAAGCTGCCCCAGCCTGTAATAATGACTATAAGGATTATATTAGGGGCCTATTATATTCCTATTATACCATTCTAACCTAAAGCCCTGAACCCTAAACCCTACTTGGAGGATCATGGGACTTAGTAAGTATGGTTATACGTACCGCAAGTGGGGTTATAAGGATTTATAAGTGTAGTTATCTTAAGTATGACCCTAGTTCCTAAGTCCAACGATCCTCTAAGTAACCTGGGTTTGGACTACCATACTTGAATACTGTTTGTGGCACCTGTTCCTTAAAGGAACCACTATTAATTCAAAGTCTATACTTTTTCCCCCTGGCTACTTCGAAGGCCAGTTAAACCTTAAACCCTGAACCTTAAACCCTAAGCCCTAAAGCGCTAAAGCCCTAAGGCCCTATTTCAACCCTACACCTCAGATCCTGAACCATGAGCTCTGAACCCTGCATCCTGGACTGCCATGTAGGTGGTCCAGATATACCCTGGCCTAAAACTTAGGGGTACTTAGAAATCATTTTTAATTTTCGGTTATTATAATCCCTAAGAAACAGCTGAAACTTTAATTTTTGCTAGGGTTCTAAGTTCAGTATAGTAAACCCGAAAGCCCCAAAGCCTGAAACCCTGAACCCTAAACCGCCACCCTATGCTTTGAGAAAGCTGCTGGGTGAACCATGTGCTTCCAATACTCCTTCTCTGAGAGCCAGCAAAGGAATTCTTGAAGGAGTTTGCGAAGGAACTCTTACAGGAACGCTCAAAGGGACGCTTGAAGGAGCACATAAAGGAACTTTGAAAGCAACCCTGATCCAGGTGAACACTCAACCTTCAATCTGAACCCTAAACAGGTGAAGCACACTAAGCTTTGAATCCTAAATAGGGTTTTAGGGCTTTAAAGCCTAAACCCCTCTAAAAAGGAGCTCTTAGAGAAACCCGGAGCCAGGTGCGTCAGCAGCTACGTCGAGGTCTCCAAAGCTTTGGGCCAAGGATGGAGCCCGCGCTCCGTTGGCCAGGCCAGGCACGGGAAAGTAAGGTTTAGGGGTTTAGGGTAAAGGGTTATCAGGGGTTTAGGGTTTAGGGATTTAGGGTTTAGAGTTTAGGGGTTTAGGGTTTAGGATTATCAGGGGTTTAGGGTTTAGGGATTTAGGGTTTAGAGTTTAGGGGTTTAGGGTTTACGGGTAAGGTTGTAGTGCCTGTAGCCATCGCGAGGTTACTTTTGGTGTCTGATAGGAGTGTGGAATATCGATAAGAAGCATGCATAGGAAGCTCGGTGCTCATACGCAAAACGAACACCGGATAGTAGGCGTAATAGTCGTAGTGAGAATAAGTGCTACTTTTCACGCTCGCAGTCTTAACGCTACTTGCGACAATAATCAAAGTCATCACAGCAATGCCCCTGGTACCCTAAACCCTAAACCCTAAACCCTAAACCCCTTGAACCGTCAGTAGTTGTAGGGGCAGTACTCATGACTCTTTGTACCGAGGCTCCAGGCCCAAAGTCATAGAAGCTTGGCCCTGTAACGCTGATCCTGCAAGGGTTTAGGGGTTTAGGGCCCGGGGGCCCGGAGAGGCTTCCGTGCATGGGAACCCCGTTCCTCGCACAGACACTGAAACACCACTGTAGAACCTGTATACTGGAAACCTGAAAGGAACCCTGAAACTGGGCTTTGAAGTACCATACTTTAATACTTTTTTCTTAAAGGAGCCCTTATGAAATACAAGTTTATACTTTTTTCTCCCTGGTTGCTTAAAAGCCCAGGAAAGGAACCCAAAACGAACCCCAAAAAAACCCTTACACCTTAAACGAACCCTGAAAGGAACCCAAAAGGAACCTTT